TAGAAAAAAATAATCATAATTATTTGTCAATATCTTTTAATTTATTGCGATGAATAGCCTCAAATTTTATAGGGAGGCTAAGCCTCCCTTGCCTCCTCTGACGAGCCGCCGCTGCTGTCCATAACTCTTAAAACTCACCTCACATTGACAGTCGCAGTAGCACATAGTGAAAGGTCATTTTCAAAACAGATATAATTAAAATCTACTTTAGGTCAACATTGTCGCAAAGACAATAAACAAATTCATCAATAATTATTATTGAACATAATACAAATCTGCCAAAAAGAATTTTTTGTTTTTGACAGATTTGGGTCATGTTCACTGTAACTGGTTTCGTGGCAAAACGACAATATTGAGCTCACGGCAAAATACGAGCGTATTTAGACCGAGCATTTTGATACAACAGGGCGCCAGGTTATTGATTGCACACGGACGCTACATGGGCTAAAGCCGCCCCTGATCTGGATAGAACCCTCCTTTTTTCGAACGATATTCGCTTCATTGTTCACTCTACACAAAAATAGTATCTCGTCAATACCGCAGAATGCTGTGTTACATCTGTTGGTAGGTATAGGAACCGCATATACTGGACATGCCGACATCAATAGCATAAAGATCTCGGACCCCTCGCGGCAGGCCCTCCATCTAGTATCGGGAACGTTTATGGATTTCATTCGACTATTGTAGACCGAGGTGTTGAAAAAGCCGTTCTGATAGGCTTCCGAATAACAGAGCATTTGACCTAGGGAAGGCAAAAGTCAGGTTCTTGGAAAAGCTAAGGTCTTCAGTGTTCTCAAAGATGCCCCCTTGCATAGGTTTTTCTGTCAAGCCACAGTAGTGTGGACTTTTTGCTGAATAGGTCGCATCTGTGACAAAGTAGTTCAAAGAATCAGGAAGACATCAGTTGTTCAAGTAACTTCACTTCTTGGTCTGTAGCTTATGAAGAGTCATAAGATCAAATGCCTTTTGGCATGCTTATAGTGCATAGAGACCTGCATTATACATCTATTGATGCGTGGGTTCTCGTTAAACACTTCTCTTTGACCCTCTCTGCTTAAGTATCCGTGGAAATACTGGGTCAACTGCGTAGAGTATTCTTGCATATAAGGTAAAGATAATCTACCTTGACTAGATATTTTTCTCGAAAAAATTTATCTAGTTGAAGTTGGAAAGGTTCTGCAAAGTTATATGGCCGAGGGCTGCGAATAACCATGATGTTTCCAAGGTAGCACCTAGGAAACATTACTTATCCAGAACACAAAGCTAGGGACCAAAACAGCCGATACCATTGACAACAAGAAAAAAAGTTAAAGATAAACAACTTTTAACACGACTGCAAGTATGTTATCGGAATTTGGTTTAGCTCATTTTGTTCAGCCTGTTGAGCTCTCTACAGAAAGGTTCGAACTGCGCTATAGCAGGGGAGCCCACGATGCAAAATGGGGATTTACTCGAGCGTCATTGAGACATATTAGGTTGCAAAGNTTTTTGGTGGAGGTACTTAACCGGGTACAAGGTATCCCCCTGTATATTAATCTGCCGCGCTTTAGTAAATCCCGAAATCCCCGCTTGGGCTCCCCTAACTAGGCTTGAAGTATGTACGTTGATTGACTGTGGATGTTCATAAATGTGATGGGTACGTTTTAGTTTAGGGTTGAAAAGTTTCAATACTGTCTTTTTCTTATATATTACAATCATTCGAATTATAAATGACAAGACTACAAAGATGATAGCCATGATATGATTCATCACTAGGACAATCCTGAATAAGGAGTGCTTTGCAACTGTTCACTTGCGTTTGTTATATTTTGTGATATCAAATACTTTTGAAGCAATGATCAAAAGGGTATTAGTTCACTTCTTTGATAAATCAGCAGTAGTTCTCAGCATGAATATCAGATAGGAAAATATTTGATGAATGTTATGATTTATATATGGAATTGGCCGTGGTGGTAGTGCGCCCGACTCACGATCGGAAGGCCGTGGGTTCGACTCCCGCCTCGACCAGATATTTTTCTCGAGAGAATTTATCTGGTTGAAGGTGGGATGATTCTGCAACCGTGTTAGGAATCACACGTTAGGAAAAAGCTTTTTGCTTTTCTACTTCTTCATCTGATAAATATTTCTTTGGAGTTCGAAGATTTATATTTTACATTTCATGTTTGTATGTGTTTATTGGCTTTTCAAGGGAACTTTGGGAGAATTAGCTGCAGAGTCCTTTTGTTAACCTTCATTAGATGTTTTTGTATTGAAAAATTACTCTGTATTACTTTATATATTGGTAAATAATAAATGCATATTATTATTAAATAAAATAACTACAATAAAAACTTTCAATAAAGATATGCAAAACATACACAAAAGTTTCTTTCAAATACAGACTGGAAGAAAAATCTCCTTCGAAAAACTACTTTTACATGAACATTGATTTACACGTAAATAACTTTTTCCCATTGCACTACAAACAATCGTTATGGTATTGAAACAGAGATAATTCATAGAAATGCTACACAATGTGATATATCAGAATATTGTTTCTTACATGGTAGACTATCATCTTCAATGGTGTACTTCGAAGTTTCGGGACAATACACTTACTTATCATCTCATCAGTACTGCAAGTTATCAAGGTATCATGTGCTATGACCATGTCGTTGAACTATTTGGAAATACTTACATTCTGCAAACCTTCAAATCAACATTATACCTGGGTCTGACTAGTCTGATAAAATTGTATAAATGTCATGTGATGCAATCGTAAAATTTTCAATGACGAATAAATTCTATTCTATTCTAATTGATTATTTTTAGCAATATCAATAACACACTCACACAAAACAATGTTGTGTTTATTTGTCCTTCGTTTGGAGACGACAGTTGGTAAGCCCATTTTTTTAAACCCAAAATGATACATTTTCTAAATGAATAAATCACATATATCGATAACAAATTTTTACTGATACATCTTATGTCAAAATTATGCCTTTAATATTTATAATTATTCCTTAAACTTTTTTGAGTTCATCATTAAATTATCCCAAATGGAGTTGAAACAGTTTTCAAATTCAAAGTTTCAGTCTCCTGATTTCCTCAACCTTGAAATCTGATCTGAAAACAAAGAGAAAAACTCATAATTCGTCACAATAGAAAAATGGTAAATGAGGCACAAATCAAGTCCGTAGTATGGCCAGCTACAGAAAACATGAAAACCACAGAATGTGGTTCATTACAGTTTCAATAAACACTAATTACCTCAAAGCCATTATGCTCCTAAGCTCCGAAGGTGTTAACCTCCAAGTCAGAGCCGCGTCATGGCTTCCCCAGTAGTCATAGATTTCAGTTACTTGTTCCAAATTCAACACAGTCGCAATCTGGGTCAGTCTGGCAAACTTGTCTCGTACGGACCAAGACGTGGTTGCCGTCATATACCCAGCCAGAGATCTAACTTCCTTGTCGAGAACCAGACCTCCTAACTAAAAGGAAGAGACAAAAAATTAGTATACAGGCCTCGACGGTCAAGTTAAACATTTGTGAATCAAAATTGTTTGTTGACATATGGCTGTTAGAAAGACGAAAAATTTTTAAATTCGAGTAAGTCAATGCAATAAAATGAAACATATATTGACAACATCGAATGAAAAGACGTCATTAAATGTTTTAGTATTTCCAATACCAATTGGAACAGCACAAAGAAGGAATTCCCGCATCGACATAGGCGTCGGCATATTATTTTTCAGTCGTAGTTTTTCAGTTACTTATTCTTACAATCATAGCAATTGATCACCCCATGAAAAAGTTATCTCAACTGAATTTTTCCACCATGGGTATTTATGAAAAACTTCGAAATTTAAGGTAGTTAATTTCCGAATCAAAAACTTTAAAATACAATGAAAACACAAATAATCACACCGAATTCTCGTC